TATTAATTTTTTTTTTTTTTTTTTTTTTTTTTTTTCTGTATAGGCAAAGTTGTTAGGTGGTAATGCAATTTTAGGTTACCAAGAACATTTAAACTTAGAAGGAAGTACAACAAACAAGTAACTTTTTCTTTTAATAATTTCATTTTTTTTTTTAATTATATTCATTATTTTATTTTATTTTTTTAAAGAATTTGTATTCGAATTATAGGAACAGTTGTGAAATTAAGAAAAAAAAGTGTTAATGATTTAAATTATTATAATTTCATTGAAAATAACAATATAAAAAATATTTTAAGAAATAATGAATTATTTTTTGAAAATAATTTTGATAAAAATAAAGATGTAAAATTTAATAAAAGAGAAAATATACATCCATATTCATCATATAATTATGTTGATGTAATTTTGCTTACCCTTGATTCTTTACCTAATAATATTAAGTATACTTATGGTATAATAATTTTTATGAAAAAATAAATATCTAAAATAAATATATAATTTAATGATATATTATTCTTGATATATATATATATATATATATATATATAAATTGTTAAAACATTTTTTTTCATCAATATTTAAAAAAATTATCATAATAAATAGGTGGTTTAGTTGCTTCAAAAGCTGTTAAGGTTCTACATCAAAGATTAACAGAAGAACATAGAGACGAGTGGTTATTAGAAATTAGAGATGAAGTAAAAAAGAAGAAAAAAAAAAGATATACTTATTTATAATTAATATTATTTAACATTTTTATCACATAGAGTTATATTTTATGTTCTTATAAATTTTTTTTTCCAATTTTTTATAAAATATTTGAATTTTTAATGAAATATATAAAAATTCTTTTTAATCTTTAGTTAAAATCAAATGCAAAATTTTTATCATGTAATGCCATTTTAGGTTAGAAAAAAAAAAAAAAAAAATGAAATGAATATATAAAAATTTATGTAAACTTTATAATAATGCTTTTCTTTTCTTTTCTTTTCTTTTCTTATCTTCTTTTTAAAGGTTACAAAGAAGACATATATATTTTTAATGATGTAATAGTCTTATTTTGCTATGGAACAGCAATAAATATATTCTCTTGTTTTTTTCTTGATGATAAAATAATTTCATTTGTATCTAATGAAGAAAATAAATTAAATTCATTTAAAAATAATTACATAAGTCTAAATAAAAATACCAGTTGCATATATTTACATTATTCCTCAGATGAAATAGAAAATAATAAGGTTCTTTGTAGGTTAAAAAATAATATACATTATATATATATATATATATATATATATATATATATATATATATTTTTATATAATAATAATATATTAAAAAATTTTCTTATTAGAATGTGTAATGAAGCATTTGTGCCAAAAATTTTTATATCGTCTTCAAATATTCCTGAAGATCTAGTCATAATTGGAAAGTAAACTTTTTTTTTTTTTTTTTTTTTTTTTTTAAATTTTATAGTATATATATATATATATATTTATAAATATATTTTTTTTTTTTTAAGTGGTTTTTTAGTTTCAGCATTTGTCATATATCCCTTAAAAAAACATTATGGTGAACATCTTGCCTCTGAAGTTAGAAAAATAAAATAAAATTAATATATATTTTTAAAAAAAAAAATAATATAAAAATTACATGCAAAATATAAAGAAATAATAAATATATATATATATATATTGGGTTTAAGAAATATTTTATTTTTTTTTCTTTTAGATAAGTGAAATACTTCCTTTTTTAGAATTAAATTTACATAAACAAATAATTTGTAAATTATTAGTAAATGGATTTAATAGTATTTTTGGTTATAATTTAAAATTATGTTTTAATCATAATTACTTATTTGGTTTTTGTTATGGCACTGGAATATGTGCATATGGAATACATTCGGAAAATAAATTTATAATTAAATCAAATTATAAAGATAATTTTCATATAAGAAATAAATCTATAAATGTAAATGAATTAAAAACAATTTATGATAATATAAACTATAGATCATTTTTTAGTAAAAATAAAAGTTTAATTTCTCCTGTTTTTATAAAAGGACATATTGTTTATAACAATGATATTAAAGAAAAAACAAAAGAAACTAATAAAATCGTAACCTTTAATACTAATAGAAAAAATAAAGATATACTATATGATAATGAAGAGGACTTAATAAATTACAATGAATTTGCAAATGAAGAAGATTGCAATGATAATAATTGTAATATTATAAGTAACAATTATTTTAGATTAAAAGAGATTTACTTCAAAAAAGAAAACGATTTAAATAGGTCTAATGATAGCGATTCTATGAAATATGTTAATTGTAACAACAAAAAAGATAATGATTTTAATAATTCCAATTTAGAAATAATAAAAAAGAAAAAAAAAAAAAGGAAAAAAGAAAAATACAAATCTAGAAAAAACAAAAACAAAAACAAAGGTTACATATATGAAGTAGAAGATCATCTTGATAATATAACTCTGCTAAATATTTATCATGATAGCATTGCTTTATATAATTATATTTTTAATTTAGATGTCAAACTTTTTCTTTTAAAAAAAATGAATGATAGTATTACCTCTATAAAAAAAGGTTTACCTAATTCACACTTATTAGAACCAATAAATAATAAGGAAAATCTACAAATAAAACATAGTGAACTTAGAAAAGTTAAAGAAATAGAAAATGTAAAAAATGACGAGAATATCAATGAAAATAATAAAAAAAAAAGTAATTCTTTAATTAATGAAAATAAAAAAGAAAAATGTAATGATAATAACAGAAGTAATAAAATTAGTGATAATGCTGAAAAAAAAAGCAGTAGTAAGAATTTTATTAAAATTGGTAACACTAATCAGATTCCTAAAAAAAATTTTTATTTTTTTGAACAAAAAAGTAAATCAAATACTAATAGAAATATAAATTATAACTATACTAATAATAAAAATAAAAAGTTATCAAATATACAAATAGGTATTAAAATGAAAGAATCAACAAATATAACACAAGATAAAAATGATGTATACCAAGAACAATCAAATAAAGGTAAAAAAGAAAAAAGAAAAAAAGAAAATGAAGAGAATACTAGCAATACGAAAGAAAAAAAAGAAAGCAAATTTAATATTTTGAAGAGCAAAAATATTAACAAAAAGAATAATTACAATAATATTATAATTAAAGAAGACCCTAGTTCTACTAAGAAAATTAATAACTATATAATGATAAATGAGGCTAATGAGAAAAGGAATATAAATACTGAAAAAAAAATAAAAGAAAATAACTATTCAAATAAATATGCAAAAAGTGAAAATAGTTCAACTACTCATCAAGAATTAAAGATAAATGAAAAAGGAAATTCTTTAAATTACACAAATTACTTTTTCTATATATTTACTTTAGACCTTCTACCAAATATAAGATTTGAATCCTTTTATGAAATGGATGATAATATATGTAATTATGAAAATTCTAATATAAGATCAAATAGTGAATATATATCAGATAGTAAAATAGTTATAGCATCTAAAAAAAATTCAGTTGCTATATCAGCTAAAGATGAAATTAAAGAAATTTCTATGATTAAAAATACAAATTTAGATGTAGAAAAATCATTAAATAAAATCAACAAACATAAAAAAAAAGTTAAAAGTCTAATAAACGAAGAAAAAGAAAATGAAAGTATAAAGGCGTCTTCTTTTTATAACAATCATCAAATTTTCTCATTTGATGAAAACGAAAATTCTTCCAAAAGAAAAGAGCAAAGAAAAAAAAAAATGGATTATGAAGAAAAAAAAAAAAAAAAAAGGGAAAAACAATTTAAGAATAGAAGCAAATATACTTACTTAAATAATTTATCAAAAAGTTATATATATTTAATTAAAAGAATTAATTTATTTAGTGATAACAATAACGAAGTTGATATTATTTATGAAAAAATTAATAAAGCATTTATCGATTTATATAATATTTTTATATTTTATATTTTTATACATAATTTATTTCCATGTTGTATATGTAGCATAAGAATAAATTTTTGTTTGGTTTCTTTTGATATATTAGAAATTATGCTTACAGGACATTTAGTAAAAGTTAAAAATAATGATGTGATAAATTTAGAATTAGGAAATATGAATAAATCTGTTCAAGAAAACTTACTTAAACACTTTTTTAATCATTTAGAAAATTATTATATGGAAAAATCGGAGTTATTTTATAATACAAATTTTTTTACTTATGATCCATATAAGGTTTTTTTCAGAAAAAAAGAAAAAAACGATTTTCCTCAATTTGGTTTTATTACATCTCATAGAAATAAAAAAGGTAAAAGAAATGTTTCTAATTTTTTAACTAGCAAATTTGCTAATTTTCGTTTTTTTAATTTTAGTGAAAAAATTAAAAATTTGTTCAAAAAAAGCAAAAACAAAAATATGAACTCAAAGGAAATGATTCAAAAAGAAATAGAAAAAGAAAAAAAGAAAAATAAAATAAACAAATTTCACTTATTATTAAAAAAAGGAGATAAAAAAAATCAGTCTACTTCTGAAGTAAACAACTTAAATGAAAGTTTATTTTTATTCAATCAGTTAAAAAATTATATTTTATTAGAAAATAGCAAAAACTTATATGAAAATTATGCTGAAAGTAAGTTCTCCTCAATTATCATAACTCCATTGAATGTATTACCAAATGTGATAATCAAAAAATACTTTGGGGTAATATCATTGCATATAGTAAAAGAAAATATCAATTTAAAAAAATTTGACTTTTTTTATCAAAGTTTAATATCAGATATATTATTCATAGCAAAGTCTCATATAAAAGCAATTGGAGCTAATTTAATTTCTTCATTTAAAATTACTAATTTATTTTTAAGAGAAGAAAAATCTCATGGATATGCTCTTATTAGCATCTGTGGAGATGTTGCAAAGTTTTAAATTATTCATATATAAAGAAAAAACAAAATAATAAAATATTATAAAATAATGTTAGATACATATTTGAAATATGTTATTTATTTAAAAAAAAAAAAAAAAAAAAAAAAAAATATTTATATATATATATAATAATGAGTTAAAATATTTATTCAAATTAAATAAACTGACAAAACAAATAAATATATACTAAAAATATAGTAAAAAATATATAAAAATAAAAACAAAATTACATTTTTGTAAAAATATATAATAAAAATCATTTTAATTATTTTAAACTCTTTTTGTATATATATATATATATCGTTCTTTCATATTATTATTTCTTCTTTTTTAGTTTCATTTTGTGCATTGATATACTTAAATTTTTTATGTATTTCTATATAAAGAGTTTTATTCATTAAATCTCATTTTTTTTTTCCCCCCTTATTTAAATACTTTTAATATAATCCATAACATATATATTCTTATAAATTAAATTTTATTATTGATTACAAAATAATAAAATAAAAAAAAAAAAAAAATTTCATATCATCAATGATTATTAATATAATTCTATATATTCAAATTAAATCATGTATTACATTTTGCTATCTAAAGAATCATCGTTTTTTTCAGTTTTTTTTTTTTTTTTTTGTTTTTCATTATTTAAAAAATATTCACCAGTTTCCATTTGAATATCAATTTTTCTTGGTAATTGATCAGGAGGAAAGACAGATTTTTTCTTATTTTTCTTTTTGTCTAATTTTTCTTTAATTTTTCTTCTTTGAACGTTTCTTTTTTTAAAATTAGGTAAATACTTTTCCCAATTTTCGTTTTTAAAATTTTCATTTTTTTCTAATTCTCTTTTTGCAATTAATTCTTTTATATGATAAACAGGATGAATATTTTTCATACAATCAATAATAATTCTTCTAACAATTTTTAATGATTTGAAATGACCAATAACACTCACTGTTTTACCATGCACACAAATATAACAATTAGTTAAAATTTCTAAAGCTTTTAAAGTTGTTGCATTACTTCCTAATAATCTTTGTCTCCTTTTAATGAATTTATTTTTATTACGAACAAAACCACTTATTTTTATAATGTCACTAAAAACTTCATCTTCTAATACTCTCTTTGCATGATTAAAAGGAACACTTCTTGATAATAAAGAGATCATATCTCTTGCTTTTATTATTATATATGGATCAAATGTTTTCTTTGTTGTTTTCACACACATATATCCCTCAATTAAATTTATTTCAAATTTTACATAATGTTTATTTAATACATTTTTTATATCAGTAGAAAACTGCTGTAAATATTTTTCTCTATATTTTGGAAATAATACCTTAAAACTTGATTCTTCTAAAAAATGATGTTTATTATCTTCTCTTGTGAATTTTTCAATCTTCCAATGATCAATATTTTCATTATCCCATGGTTTATCTTTTCTATATTTTTTTTTTTTTTTTTTTTCTCCATCAACATTACTCATTTTGAAGAAAAATATTGTAAATAATTTTAATAGTTCCTTTTTTTTTTTAAATTCAGTTTTCAATTTTTACGCAGTGATATTCATGTGTTTTTTTTTTTTTTTTTCATATATATCAATAAACCTTTTATACTTTCTTATTATGAAGATAATATCTTTTCATAAATTATTACAAAAAAAAAAAAAAAAAAATGCTTCAGCTTACTATTAAAGAGTAAATATTTTAACTAGTTTTAAAATTTATAAAAAAACTATTACATTTAAAATGATACTCTATTATATGAGTTACAATTTTTTAATTTCATAGTTTTGATGTTTTTTTGAATTAAATAAATTTTTAAGAATATATTTTTTCATAAAAATTTCGTTATTATTTTCTATTTGAAAAATTTTTTTTCCTTTTTTTTTATTTCATCCTATTTTTTTTTTTTTTTTTTTAATTTTTTTATATTTTTATATTTTCATTTTCTTTTCTTTTCTATAGTATGTTTTTTAAATAAAAAAAAAATATAGAGCATAAAATGAAGAAAATTATATTTTTAAAACTACTTTTTCATAATTTGTATAAATAGTATATATATTTCAAAATTTTTAAAATAAAAAATAACAATTTATATGGAATAATTTATAGAGGTTATACGAATTTTAAGTTATGTTTATTTTCAAAATTTAAAATATTTGAAAGAGTTATTAAAGATTTAATGCAGTTATATAAAAAAATAATTCATTTACCTCACTTCATAAAATATAAATTAAATTATTTAAATAATAATAATTACTTTATAATACAAAAAAAATGTTTTTATTGTTCTAAATTACTAAAATTAAAAAATGTAAGAAAAGTAAATGATGAAAATACCACTGAGCAAAATGATGTATATTATATATTAAAAAATAATGAATTACCTGTATGTAAAGAAAAAAATAGAATTGAACTGATATTATTAAATACAATTAAAACAAATAAACTGGATAATGTTGTAAAGGAAATATTATCAATAATCAATGAAAATCCTAAAAATAGAGATATTTATATAAATAAAAATTTAATGTTGGCATTTTACATTATTTTAATAAAAAGAAAATATTATGTAAATAATTTAAAAAATAGTATTTATGATAACTGTTCATTAAATATTTTTGATTTCATTCATTATAATATTAATCTACATTTGAAAAATTACAACTTAAAAAATATATGTGAAGTACTTAATAATTTATCGAAATATATTTATAAAAATAAATCTAACAATATCTCAAATGAACTTGTTAAAAACATATTTTATTTTTCCTTCTTTAGTAATTTTAATAAATTTTATCCTAAAAAAAATTATAACAAATTAAATGATGAAAAAAACATAAATAAACAAATTATAGATAACAAAATAAATGAGAAAAAATGTGATAAGGAAGAATGTAATTTACATATATATAATTCATATAAATTAAAAAATTCTAATCAAACTAATTTAATAGAAAGAAATATCATAAAAGAACAAAATTACTTAATCAAAGAAAATACTTCAAATAGTGAAATTTCCATAAAAAAAGAAGACAGCAAAGATCTCTTAAATAATAATGAACTTAAAAAAATAACTAACACAAATTATAAATATAAAGATTTCAATGAAGAAACATTTGCTTACTTAAATAGTTTTATTATATTTTTATCTAATCATCCTAATTTTATTAGTGAAAAAATTTTATATAATATTTCTTTATTAGGAAGTAAAATTATTGAATTCAAAATAAATTTTAGAATATCTTTATCTTTTTTGTCAGCCAGTTTAAATATTTTTGATAAACAAAAAACAAATAAGCGTAATTTATTTATATATAAGAAAACGAATTTTGATATATTATACAACATTTTAAAAGAATGTAATGAAATAATTAATAAAAATAATATTGAAAATAAAGAAAGTAATGAATTGATGAATAACTACAATAAATCAAATAAAGAAAACAGTGAATTTGACAATGATTCCTCTAAGCAAAATTTTAATTCTCAAAAAAAAAAATATAAAAAATATAATACGAAAAATCATATTAATTTGTGGAATTATTCGCACATAATTAATGTAATAAAAATTATGAAAATTCAAAATTTTTTATCAAGAAATTATACAAATGGAGAAAAATGTTTAGAAGAATTTTTCATTAACTTTATTAATTATGCTTCAATTTATCAAAACGATTCTATAATTATATCACAAAATGAGTTGAATAATTTTATTTCTATTTATGTAAATTTATCAGTTTTATTAAGTGAATTAAAAAGTTATAAAAACACATTTCTTAAAATTATGGATTTTCTAAATAACTCATATAAATGTATATATGTGCAATATAACAATCTTCATATAAATATGATGATTAATTTGTTAAGAGGAATATATCATCAATTATTGATCATTTCAGGCATAAATTCTTATCAAGTATATTTTAAAAAAATTGAAAAAAATGTTTTATATAAGTCAGAAAAAAGTTCGGAATTATTAAATATAAAGGAAAAACAAATAATTAATTTAATTATGTTAATTCAAAATATATCAAACTGCATAATGTATACAGATAAAAAAAAAAATGATTTGAATTTAGGAAAATTAATTACACTTGTACATTATATGCATAAAATAAATAAAATTTTTATAACTTTTAAAATAAATGATTTATTTAAGACAACTATTTTAAATTTTATAACGAAAAGCGAAAATATGTTTTATTATAAAAAATATTCTGAAAATTCATCAAATCATCATATTTTATTATTTCTCAATATATATTTATATTATAAAGGATTGAATAGGCGTTTTTTAAATAACTGTTTTAATTATCTAAATGCAAATGATTCTTATATTTTTAAAAATGAGACAGAGATTATAATGTTTATTAATTTTGTAATGAAATTCAATAAAATAAAAGAAAAAATAAAAACAGAATATCAAGAAATAATCTATGATATAAAAAATGTCTTTAATAATAATAATAATGATAAAAAGGAATTACGAAATAATGAAAAAAACACTAATGTAGATAATTTTTTGTTTTTTAAGGATAATGTTAAAAGTAATGAAAATATAAGTTATAATGATAAAAGTAATGAAAATTTAAGTTATAATGATAAAAGTAATAAAAATTTAAGTTATAATGATAAAAGTAATAAAATTTTAAGTTATAATGATAAAAGTAATGAAAATTTAAGTTATAATGATAAAAGTAATGAAAATATAAGTTATAATGATAAAAGTAATGAAAATATAAGTTATAATGATAAAAGTAATAAAAATTTAAGTTATAATGATAAAAGTAATGAAAATATAAGTTATAATGATAAAAGTAATAAAAATTTAAGTTATAATGATAAAAGTAATAAAAATTTAAGTTATAATGATAAAAGTAATAAAATTTTAAGTTATAATGATAAAAGTAATGAAAATTTAAGTTATAATGATATAGATATAAGTATAAAGAATTATATAGATAAAATAATGAATATTTTATATAATCCAAATAAAAATAAATCTACAGAATTTTTATCAATTCAACATAATTCTTTTCTATGTAAAGAAAATACAAACTTAAAGTTTGAGAAATCTATAATGAAAATTTATAACAATAATAATAATAATAATAGTAGTAGCAACATGAATAATACTAATCCCTTTACACATTACTCTTTGAACACCTTTTTTTTAGTATATGAGAACATTTATTCATTTTATGAAAACAGTAAGTCTATACAAGAAAGATTGCTAAATTCTTTAAACGAATTATTGAATCAAAAAAAAAATAAATTAAGTGAAGAAAATTTTTTTTTCATACTTTCAGCATTTCTGAAAACAAAAAATTTGAATCATGATATTTTTTATTCCTACTATGAATTTATGAAAAAAAAATTACAAAGTATTGAAATGAAATATCTTTTTTTTATAATAAAACGTATAATTGAAGAATCACATAATTTGATAAATAACAATGAAAATAAAATTCCTAGTAATTGCATTAAGAATAATTTAATATTTACAAATATTATAAATTTATCAATTAATATTATATTAAATGATAAAAATTTTATGAATAATTTTACTTTTATCAAAGAAATTTTACATATATATTTTCAAAAATATAAAAATTGTTTTTTATTTTACAAAGAATTTAACTATTTTATATTATCCTATTTAGATAATTTTATTAGATGTGATAATTTAGATGAAAATCATTTAGTTATGATCATAAATAATATATCTAGCTTTTATTATACTATAAGTAAGTATTCAGATCAAACAAAAAAAATGTCACTGATTATTGAGCCAAAAAAAAACAAAAAATTGATACATGAAGATATAAATTTAGATAAAATAGATATTCAAAAAAAAAAAAAAAATGAAAATATTTATTGTATTAGGTACAGAAAAAATCAAGATTCACTTAATAATAATATAAATAACAAGCATAATGAAATAAATAAAAAAAATGTAGAAAAAATTGAATTATTTAAAAATGATTTTTATAATTATGTTAAAGAAAATTACAACGAACAATGTTTAAAAAATGAATTAATAAAACAATTAAATACATTTTTATATACATTATATAATAATAAATTAAAAAATAAAATTAATAAGGAAATAAAATTAACAAATATGAATATTATAGATATATTTGTTTCCTTAAAAAATAGCAAATTAAGAGAAGTTAATATTATGTATATATTATGCAAAAAATATATTATGAACATATTTGCAGTAAATAATGTTAAAATAGAATATCAAATAAAATTTTTTAATAGTATTATATTTTTAGATTATTTAAAAGAAGCAGATATTATATTTAAATATATTATTTTAAAAAATAGAGATAAATGGAATCATATATTTTATATGCATTTTTTAAAACTTCCTATAAATGTTTTTTATATTCCAAATATTTCAACATATATCCTAAATTTCTTTTGCTTTCTTGAATATCTTAACAAAAAGGATAAAGAAAGAATACTTAAAAAAGCAAAATTTTTTATTCAAATGTTATTAAAAATATATTCATATAATGATATGAATTCCCTTGATAAAAGAAATATTTTTCTTTTATTTGTTTTGTTAAGTTTTCCTAATTCTCCTATAAATATATCGTCACTTTCTTTTAAAAGCTTAAAGTTATTTTACATTCATTTTATAAAAAAAGATTTACTATGTGAGACGAATACGGTATATTCTTCCTCCATTCATCAAAATATATCTGAATTTGTAATATCGTTTATAAGAAAAAACACAAAACAATATGATGTTTTCAATGAAAAACAAATTCACACTTTTAATATAGATATAGTTTTAAACAAGAAATAACATTTTATTCATTTATATTATTATTGTTATTGTTATTGTTATTGTTGTTGTTTTTTTTTTTTTTTTTTTTTTTTTTTTTTTTTTTTTTTTTTTTTTTTTTTTTTTTTTTTATTTATTTCTTCTATGTTTATCTTTTATCTAGTTTATATTCATATATTTACTTTGTTAATAAATATTTACTTATTAATAAAATGTTATACATATTATTCCTATTTTGTTCATATAATTAAATGCTCATTTATTTTATTATATTTTTTTATTTTTTTGTTTAGTATTTATTTCAATATTTTTCAATTTTTATATAACAATAAATTTTTTCTTTTTTTTTTTTTTATTATAAAAGAAAAAAAAATTTACCAAGATGATATATTTTGCTAAGAGTTGATAGGCAAACCCCAATGAAATACACATATTCAAAATAGTGTCCATACATATATTTAAAATGTTTAAAAAAACTACAACATTTCAGGGTTTCCATATATACTTAACATTTTTTTTAAATATAAAATTAAACAATCTAAGCAAATCATATTTTCATTTTCATAATTTCTTTTTCTTTTTTCTTTTTTTCTCTTAAAAGATATATTTTTTTTAATATATTTATATTTTATTCTTTTCTTAAAAAGTTTTGATGATATATTTTTTTTGTACCATCTAAAACTATATCCCATATTATTTATATAATTATCATCTTTCTCTTTTTCAAATTTTTCGAATCTGCAATTTATATCTCCTTGTTCTTTTTTTTTAAGAGATATGAACTTTGATTTACGAAAAATGCATTCATCTTTTGCACTTTCTTTACTAAAAAGAAAAGTATTTTCATTTTTTTCAATTTCATATTTATCCAATATCTTACTATTAATATTAACACTTTTTTTAGTGGTAAACTTTACACTTGTATTTTTATTAATTTTATGATAATTTTTGCAATACTTTATACTTTTACTATTATAAATATAATTCATGTAATTATCACATTTACAATTGAAATGAAAATTATTCATATTCAACTTTTTCATAATATTTTTTTTTATTTTTTTATTGTTTCCATTATTATTTTCCAAAGGTACAAATGTTTTATTTTCTGAGTATGTTTCATTTTTATTTATAATATGATTTTTTAAATTTAGTTTTATAGGTTCCTTTTGAAATTCTTCTGTAATGTTTTTCTTATTTATCATATGATTATTTTCATTTTCAATTAAATTCGTATAAAAATTGTTTATAATATTTTTATTTTCAATAAGTTTTGTATTTTTAATTTCTTTATTATTTTCACTCCATTTCAAATTATCTTTTATCACATTATTTTGTTGAATATTATTAAAGTTGTCTTTGTTTTCACTATTTTTATGTATTTCTTTATTTGTAATAGTGTACTTTTTAAAAAAATGTTTTTTTTCTTTTTCTTTTTTCTTTTCTTTTTGATTCTCAGAGTAATATTTTCTTTTTTTTTCTTTAATATATGTACAATTACTATTCTGAAATGGTTGACAGTTATTATAACATTTATCTTCTTTTTTTTTTTTACTTATGTTATATTTTTTAATGGATTTTTTTTTTAGTTTTAAAGGAAAGTAATTATTAAAAGTGAACTTAATAAAATAACCATAAAAATACCTTTTTCTTTTTTTTTTTCTCTCCTTTAAATGAACATTTTTTATGTGTGTATAATCATTACTTATACATAAATTGTATAATTCAATGAGGTCTTCAATTTTATTATCTTTATAACATAATAGAAAAAACAAATTTTTAAAATCTTGAATTTTATTTGAGCATTTTGGCAAGAAGCTTTCATATATATCATTATGTTTATTTTTTATTTTTATTTTTTTTTTTTTATTATTTATTTTTTCTATTTCTTCTTTATCATTTTTATAATAATTAACAGATTTTTGCTGAATTTTTTTTTTTTTTTTTCTAATTTTCCATACACAATCTTCTTTACAGCAAAATATATTTGCTGTATCATTTTTATTAATATAATTAATAATTTTATTACTATTAATATTTTTAAAATCATTTCTTTTAAAAATGTGATTTTTTATATTATCAAAAGTATGATATTTTTTGTTAATACTATTAGGATCTCCATTGACACAATTATGATAAAACTCATTCTTAAAAATTCCTTGTTTTATTTTCTTTTTTTTAATACGAATTAATTCAAGAGATATAAAACCAGCGAATGGAGGTATTTTCATATTATTTATTTTTATACCTAAACACGATTGAAATGATAAAAGAGCTGATTGATGTGTTAAATATAATATAATTTTCGGAATAAATTTTTTTTTTTTTTCTTTTTGAAATTTTTCAAATAATCTTACGTTGATTATAAAATTAATAGCAACATCAATTAAAGACATACCACTACATAACCACGATAAATATTTATTATTATATTCAAGCTTACACATTAATTTATAACACTCATATATATTTTTGTAAAATTTTTTTATTTTATTTTTCTTGTTTTTTTTAGATACATTAATATCTTTCTTTGTTTTACAAGAACGCTTGATATTATTTCTAGTAATTTTATTTTTAAAGTTTTTTATAATTCCATTTAAATTCCTACAGATATTTAATTTTTTTTTTTCTTTTTCATTTAAAGGAAAACTTCTACAACTCCTTGTTTTTTTTTTTTTCTTTTTATCACATATATATTTATTAAATACATCTTTACTTAATTTATTTTCTTTATTTACAGATAATTTTATTAATTCATCTTTACAACATTCTTTTTTATCTTTATATGTTTCGTTATTAAATTTTTTGTTATTATTCAATTTTTCATCACTACTACATTTATCAAAATAATTATTATGTCCTTCAAGCAAATGAATAAATTCTCCTTTATGAAATGTTTTATTGTCATTTATGAATTCTTTATTTTTTATACTTTTATTATCTATTATAGAAATAAATTTTTGTTCACAATTATTCTTTTTTTTTTTTTGTTTAATGCAACTATTAATGTTTTCACTTTTTTCATTATTTTCTTCATTTGATAAATTTATTGGAGATATAATGTTATTATTTTCTTTTTCATTAATGCGTGCTTGAAATGTATTAAAAAAAATCTTATTATTTGAATTATTTACTTTTTTTTCATAATTTGATAAAGTGTCACTAGAATCTTCTTTTGATAATTTCTTATAAGCATTGTTAAAATCAAAAAAAAGATTAACATTATGATACACATAAGCATCATATGAACTAATAAATTTCTTAATAATTTTTATATTTTTAATTGTTTTTCTTTTATCATTGAAAAAATGTTTCCAATTTTTTTTTTTTTCATGATATATTTCATTTTGTTGATAATTTTGAATATTAATAAAATTAGTATTAACAGAACTATAATTTAATTTTTTCAAATCTCTTAATATTATGGAATTATTTAACTTTTTTTTTAGTTTATAAATAGATGAAATATGTTTTTTAAATGTACTTAATATACTATTATTTAAATAAACATTGGGAGTATAAATACTACATTCATCTTTTAATAAAATTTCTTTTGTGTTTATATATTTATCTTTCCACTTGGTTATATAATAAACTATTGATATTTCTTCTTTATAATAATTGTTTAAAAATTTATATAATTTTGAATTATTAAAAATATGATTTTTTAATTTTTTAATATACTGATTTTTAGCTTTTAACGTTTTAAACATAAGAGAATTTCTTTCGGCCACTTTAACAACTGAACATAATACATAAATATTCTTTAAATAATAAAAAAAAAACCTAATATATAAATTTATATAATTTAGAAAATTAAGCAAATAATAATACTTTTCTATAAATTTATTATATATTTTGTTAAAATATTTATCAAAGCCTAAAAGTTTATTATTGATAAAGTCATCATTGTAATTAATGTTATTAATATTATTAAAGTTGTCCATATAAATATCATCATGATTATTTTTACAATCATAAATATTGTTGATAATATCATAAGTATCAATATTATTGTTACAATAATTAATCATCTTATTTTTTTCTTCTTTATTTACATTAATTTTTTTATTTTTTTTATCAGAAAATGTTTTATATGATTTGCTAAAATAAAAATCGGAAATTAATTCTTCTTCAAATTTTAAATAATTTGAACAATATTTATTTTTATCAGTGAGCAAAATAGAATGATTATCAGAAGGAATGTTATTGATGATATGATTTGTAAATTTATTTAATATATATTGTAAAAATATTTGAAAAATATAATAAATATACGATTTCTCCAAACTTTTTTTATTTCTTTGTTTTGTTTTTCTTATTTTACTATAAAAGAATTGTTCGTTATTTTTTTTGTTCATAACAAATTCAAAAAATACGCTCATATTGTATATTAAATTATAACTTGTATTAAATTTAAGATTCATTTTTTTTAAATTTTTTTTTTCGTAATTCTTAAAATGTACTATATTTGTTATAATATTATCACTATGACTTAATGATTTCATAAAATCAGATTTTATATTTTTATCTAAAAGAAAATCTTTATAGTTATCTTTTTTTATATAATGTTTTGAATAATTCATAGAATTACTATGAATATCACCATTTTTTTCTTTACAATTAGAATGAACAAAATCAAATGTTGAAACAATTTTTTTATTTGATTTATTTCTATAGATATTGTTTTTATCAATAATATTATCATTATTGATCATAAAATCATCCAATATACAACTTAAATTCTTTCTATTTTTACATATATTGTCATTTGTATTATAATTGTAATTTTGTTTTTCATTTAATTTATTATTATTATTATTATTATTATTATTATTATTATTATTATTATTATTATGTATATAGTTCATATTAACATTACTATGTATTTTTGAATTACTCGTAAAATTATATTTACAACTATTACGAATATTTTCAATTTTATCGTAAAAATTCCAATTTTTGTAAAAGTTATTATATTTAAAATTATTTGTATCAATATCTTTTTTATGATTACCAGTAGATAAGAACTTCTTAAATATATTACCAAAATGATAATTATAAATACAGTCATCAAATTTCCTATTATTTGTTATAAGATTAGAATTTTTTATTTTATACATATATTTGTTATGATTTTTGTCTTTATAAATATAATTCTCTTTTTCATACATATTGTTATTATTAATATAATTCAAATCAAAAGAATTTTGATACATATTTTTTTCTCCTGATGAATTTTTGTTTTTACATTTTATTCTATCATAGAATGAATTAGAATTTTCACTACCATTATCAAAAGATAATAAGAAAAAAAAAAAAAACATTTTTTCACTAATTCCCAATATTCCACATATAATTGCATAAGCCGTTAACTTGCATCTTTCACTATTTGTTGTTTTAATACATAAATATTTATTTATTAATTTTATTATTTTATCATATTTTTTTTTTTCGTGATCTATTTTACATTTTCCTAACACATTTAAAAAACTTTTTTTACTAAAATATAAATTCTTAATAATATTCAGAAAATTTTCTTTTTCTTTTGAATTATTATAAATATTATTATTTGTTAAAATATTTTGATAAAAAAGTTTTATATTTTTTAAAATGTCATTATTGTCGTTATTATTTAACTTTTTTTTTTTATGATAATTTGTATATTTCTTTTTATAAAAATAAGAATTTCTATGTTTGTCTTTCTCATTTACTACCTTTTTTAATTTTATTTGTTTATATAAATCTTTATTAGAGCTTTTATAAGAACTTTTGTTATAATTAAAAAAATACTTTTTATGAATTAGTATCTTAAAAATTTTTTTCCTTCTTTTCTTATTTTGACTAATTCTGATCAAAAAATTCCTTTTTTTTTTTTCTTTAATTAATTTTAAAAAATTATTTTTATATATCCATTTATTTAAATTATTAACTAAATTTTTTTTCTTGTTATATATACTATTATACTTTTTGTTTAATTTCCTTAAACTATAATAATATTTTCTTAAATATTTTCCTATTTTAATAGATTGTTGAAATCCTAAAAAAGTTAAATCACCTTTTCCTTCTGCAAATGGCCAAATGTTCAGAATTTTTTTTTTTGGCGTTCTAGCTCCATGTCTCATATAAATTACTTTTGTTATATTTTCAAAATCAAAATATGAAAAAATACATTTCTTACATATACTAATATTTTTCAAAAAACAATCGGAATTTAAATAACAAGATGAATAGCTACTTTTTATTGAATCACATATACTAATTGAAGAAACAGAAGATTTTTTAACATTTCTTTTTTTTTTCTCGTTAAAAGAGAAAAAACTTACCTCTTTCTCTTCTTTTGATTTTTCTTTTTTAATTAGCATTTCACAAAACAAAAGAAAGATAAAAAAAAAAAAAAAAAAAAAAGAATTAGAATATATAAATATATAAAACAAATAATATATAATATACTTAAAAATGAAATAAAGTTTTTCTTTTTATGATATATTCATTTTCTTTATAACAAAAAAAAAAAAAAAAAAAAAAAAAAAATATATATATATATATATATATATATATATATATATATATATAATAATAATGGTATATAAATAAATTAAATTAGAAAACTAAAAACTATAAAAAAAAAAATTTACAACACATAAATACAATGGATAAAAAGTACACAGATACAATATACTATTTGAAGTAGTTCTCATACTATTTAACGACTATTGAATTAACTATATATATATATATA